TGGGCGGGCAGGTGGGGGCGGAGAAAGCCAGGGGGAAGGGGGTCCTTCCACCTCTCCCCCTCCCATCCAAAATGATAACATAAAATATACAAAAGCCTGACATTTTATCTTTGCCTGCCTGACGGAGGACATTAGGCTAAAAAGGAGGACATGTCCTCCTTTTGCCTGACATCTGGCAACCCTATGTTAGAGTGACATCTTTGGGATTAGCTATCTGGGTATTCCCCCATCCCTAGAGAAAGTGAGCCCATGGAATCCTATGCCTGAAGAACACTCTGCTTGTTTCTCCTCAGCAAAAGTCCAGAAGGAGATAGACACGGCTCTGGTTCCTAGACAAACGATCTGCTATGAGGATCGGAAGAAGCTGCCTTTCACAAATGCTGTGATTCATGAGGCGCAACGCTTCAGCAACATTATCGCTGTGGGCTTGCCCAGGTTATGCGTGAAGGACACAACGATCCGTCAGTATCATCTTAAAAGGGTAAACAGATCTCAAGGGTCTGACTTCACGCCACAGAAAAGGGAGATCACCAAGCTAGTCATTTAAAAAGGAAATTCCTCATGTTACTCATTACTTTGAGGCACTGAAGGTTCTGTTAACATTATTCTGCAGAGCTGTTGCCGTGTTATTCTGTGCAAGGGTTTCAACAAGAGAAAACAGAAAGATGTTGCGGCATTTCAAAGACTGACTGCTATATTTTAAAGTAAGCTTTCACAGAACATTGTTCACATCTTCAGACATGTGAGCTATAATACGGAGACTAGTCCATGGTAAAAGAGCCTTCATGCAAGGCCCTAAAATGGATGGTTGCATTTCACACCCAGTAATCATTTATGGCCCCTCTTTGATATTCAGTTCTTTTCAAGTCTAGCATTGCAAATATTAAACAATCGCATAGTGCATTATTAAGGCATTTGTATTGCCTTATTTCACATTCTGGAGCAGGGAAAAATTCCAGACACAATTAAAAAGGGTGTAGTTTATTCAGCACTACAGCTGTGGAGGAAAAGCTAATTATTCCAAAGCACTAAAAATTACAGAGCAGTTTATAATGTGCGCAGTAAACGTATTTATAATAATTAGATACAAGTTCATTACTTGAGTTACAGGCTTGTTCAGGCTGGTTTCCAACACTGGAGGCATTCAAGAAAAACTTAGATGATCATCCGACAGATATGCTTTGATTGTATTCCTGCCTTGAGCAGGGGGTTGGACTTGATGGCCTTTTAGGCCCCTTCCAACTTCACAATTCTATGATTCTCTTTGGCCTTGTAGTTTCTTGTATCAAGACCCACCAGAGACATTCAATGCCGTTTTCCAACTATCAACATTTCTACCCTGGGGGCAGTTTATAATTGTCGGGTTTCTTCCTCACCAGAGCATTAATTAGTTTCCATAGGAAATTAAAACAATGGGTCTATGGTTATGGCAGACTTTGGTATCTAAAATATCATGGCAGAATTCAGAGCGAAACACTCCACTGATCGGCGGTTTTAAAATGGCCACCGGAAAAACAAAATGGCCACCCACTGTTTTCAGGGACTGATTCCTCGCTTTAGAGGCACCGAAAATGGTGGCGCTATGGAGGATTTTCTCTTAAGGTGAGTTTTTAAGCCCACAGGAACGCATTGAAGGTGATTCAATGTGTTTCTATGGGCTTTTTAATATTGCTTTGCAATGAAATTGCTTAGCAACGTTTGGATCCATTGATGAAGGCTTTTAATAAGGCCTTAAGAACTCATCTTTTTCAAGTTGTGCGTCAAAGTGTGTTTTGATCCACGACAGCTCACACTGGTACAAATCTCTTAGTTCCAGAGCAGCTGGTACAAATTTATTAGTTCCACACATGGTGCAGTGTTTAAACTGCAAAACTACAGTCAAGATCCTGCTCACTATCTGAGTTCGATCCTGACAGGCTTAGGTAGCTGGCTCGAGGTTCACTCAACCTTCCATCGTTCCAAGGTTGGTAAATTGAGCACCCAGCTTGCTGTGGGTGGACAGCAATGTGTACCCTGCATAATTAGATCAGAGAGTGCTTTAAGCACTATGGGGTGGCATGTAAGCAGCATACTTTGCTTTTAGAACTGTAGAGCTGGAATGGGCCCTATGGACCCACTCCATAAGGCCCAACCCCTATCAAGAAGGCACGGTAGGGAATTGAACTCCCAAGTTTAAACCACTGAGCTATCTTGCAGTTCCTAATATCTGTCATTGGGAAGCCATTCTGTTTCTGCCTATTATGTCTGAACTTTTGTTCAGTCGTTTAGTCGTGTCTGACTCTTCGTGACCCCATGGACCAGAGCACGCCAGGCCCTCCTATCCTCCACCGCCTCCCGGAGTTGTGTCAAATTCATGTTGGTTGCTTCTATGACACTGTCCAACCTTCTCATCTTCGGTCGTCCCCTTCTCCTCTTGCCTTCACACTTTCCCAACATCAAAGTCTTATGTCTGAACAGTCTGAACAGTCCAGAGTATATAGGATATGGATCAGGACAGTCATCTCTGTTCAAAACTGCCAGCCTGCTGATTACATAGACCAGTGCTAGGCAATCTGGTGCCCTCCAGCTTGTTTTGAACTAAAGTTGCCAGAATCCCAATGCATCATGGCCATCCCACTGACATCAGAACCACCTCTTCATCTTATCCACTTATCTACCTGTCCCCAACAGTCCAAAACCGGGCTGTCTCATGCCCCTATTTTGCAATGAACATTTGTGCAATGTGCCTGGAGTTGGAATAAGAGGCAGGATATACCGTATTTTTCCGTGTATAAAAGGACACATTTTGCTTAAATAATTTGAGAAAAAACTGAGGGTCGTTTTATACACGGATGGCAGATCTTTACCCCTGCCTTTTGCGAAGGCATGGGGCTTGGCAAAAAGGAAGGGGAGGGATTGCTTCCTTCCTTTTTGCTAGGCTCTGTGCCTTCAGTTGGAATAAGAGGCAGGATATACCGTATTTTTCCGTGTATAAAAGGACACATTTTGCTTAAATAATTTGAGAAAAAACTGAGGGTCGTTTTATACACGGATGGCAGATCTTTACCCCTGCCTTTTGCGAAGGCATGGGGCTTGGCAAAAAGGAAGGGGAGGGATTGCTTCCTTCCTTTTTGCTAGGCTCTGTGCCTTCTGAAAAGGAAGCTCCCTTCCTCCCCTTCCTTTTTGCAAAGCTCCGTGCCTTCTCAAAAGGCAAGGAAAAGTGGCTGTCACTTTGACAGCCGCTTGCCTTGCCTTTTGCCAAGACACGGGGCTTAGTGAAAAGGGAGCCCTTTCATCCTTGCTTTTTCTAATTTGGGGTTAGAAAAGGGGGAAAAATCATCTTATACTTTGGGTCATCTTATAAACGGAAAAATATGGTAATGGTTATTTTTCTATTCCAGGGCAGCGTCATCTTTCCAAACATGGCTTCTGCACTCCACGATCCAAACGAATGGGAGAGCCCTCTGCTGTTCAATCCACATCACTTCCTTGACAAGGATGGCCATTTCATCTGCCCAGAAGCCTTCATACCATTTTCTTTAGGTGCCTTGACAAATCATTCCCATTTCTTCCACTCTTGAACATATCTCTACCAATGGGTACAATCTACAGATGAGCATGAACTGGTTTGTCCTGGTTCCTCCTAGTTCATTGAGGATGAACATGCTCCCCTTCCCTGCCTCCTCTGGATCAATCAACCAGGCCCAGCGTGGTAGCTTCCAGCACCTCTTCAACTGATCTTCCAGTCCTGGCAGCAGCTCAGGCTTCTCTGCCCCGCCCTCTTGGCGGATCTCCCAATCAGAGAAAAGGGCGGGGCCAATGAAGTCTGGGCTCTTGCTCCTGATTGAGAGATTAGCCGAGGAGGTGGGAAACGCAAGCAAGCAAGCTGGGCCTGGTGAGGGGCTGATTGTCTGAGGAGGCGGGGGAGGAGAGCAGCAGCATCTATTCTGCCACCTTTACGAACTGGGACAAACCAGGACAAACTGGTTTGTGCCCATCTCTGGTACAATCTCCGTTAATTGGATTGGGGGTGGGGAAGTCTTATGTACTGTTTCTCTAGAACTACTTTAATCTTATGCATCAGGACTGGGCATTCTATCACCCCCCCCAAGGCATATTTTGCTGCAGAATCTTGCTGTACAACAACACCTACAAGCTTGACATGTTAGCCCATGGCCACTGGAAGGGACGTCATGTTCCTGATTACATCTGATTTCAGCCACTTCTTGGAGTTAAACATGCTGGGTTGAATTATCCCGACAAATCTATTGTATTTTGCAATGGAATATTATTTTTTAAAATTATTGTACTGATAATTAGTGTATTGAGACAAAAAAGGTTCTATTCCACTTTTTAGTGAAGTATGAGATCAAAAAGTAGACATGACGTCCTATTATGCTTAGTGGATTGGTTTCATTCCAGGACAACCATGGAATTCTTAAGTGGGTTCAAGATATATTGATCCCACTGAGATATATACGTTCAGCCCAATGGTAGCTGTAACTTTAACTTTAACCCTAACCCTTGAGGGATGTGGTGGCACTGCGTGTTAAACCGCAGAAGCATCTGTGCTGCAAGGTCAGAAGACCAGCTGTTGCTAAGATCGAAGCCATGCGACAGAGTGAGCTCCTGTCGCTTGTCCCAGCTCCTGCCAACCTAGCAGTTCAAAAGCATGTAAAAATGAGGGTCGATAAATAGGTACCACCTTGGTGGGAAGGTCACAGTATTCTGTCTCTAGTTGCGCTAGCCACGTGACCACGGAAACAATCTTCGGACAAATGCTGGCTCTACAGTGATGAGCACCACACCCTAGAGTTGGACATGACTGGACTAAATGTCAAGGGGAACCTTTACCTGTACCTTACCTTGACATAGTGGTAGAATTATGGTTTCAGAAAGTTCCCTCCAATTCATTTAATAATAACCATATGCTGTGTAATCAATTCTTTCTGACTTATGCCATGTGCTGTGTAATCAATTCTTTCTGACTTATGATGACCCTTTTCAGAGCATTCGGGGTAGAGAGAACTCAGAAGTGGTTTCTGATTCCTTTCTTCTGCGCTCACCCTGGGACTGCACAGCTGTCCCAAGGCCACATAGGCTAACTCTACTCCCAGGAGACCCAGTGGGGAATTGAACTCCCAACCTGGCTCCAAGGCCAGAGACCTAAAACACTCAGTTATCCTTTTTTTGCTTAGTCGTTAAGTCGTGTCCGACTCTTCGTGACCCCATGGACCAGAGCACGCCAGGCCCTCCTGTCATCCACTGCCTCCCAGAGTTGGGTCAGATTCATTTTTGGTAGCTTCAATGACCCTGTCCAGCCACCTCATCCTCTGTCGTCCCCTTCTCCTCCTGCCTTCTCACTTTCCTAACATCAGCGTCTATTACATGGAGTCTTCTCTTCTCCTGAGATGGCCAAAGGATTGGAGCCTCTGCTTTAGGATTTGTCCTTCCTGTGAGCACTCAGGGTTGATTTCCTACAGAATGAATAGGTTTGTTCTCCTTGCAGTCCAAGGGACTCTCAAGAGTCTATCCAGCACCACAATTCAAAAGCATCCATTCTTCAGCGGTCAGCCTTCTTTATGGTCCAGCTCTCACTGTTATCCAGCTGGATACAATTCACTTACTATAATCTATAAAATTCTGATGAATGAAGATTAAATAACATCTGCTTTCTAATAGACAATTTCCATTGTTTATGGTTAGTGGCTTGTGGTCCCCATACTATGGTTAAATTTTCATGGTTTCTGTCCAGAAGGCTTTTAACTGAAAAGTAGCTATTATGAAATGATTGAAAACAGATAGCAATTTTGATCCTCTGCCAATGGGAGGCGAACACACTTTTTCGACATATCCTGTGTGGTCATCTCTGAAAACAGGTTGATGCTAAATGAGTGTGCATCTTTCTAGGTGTTCCATCTCACAGAATAAGAAAGCAGGGTCATAACTAGTAATTGCATGTCTGTGTCTCCCCTAGTCTTCAACCCCACTGTCCACACAAGAGAAGGAACACCTGTAGGGGTGGACCTGACTTATGTTTTGTTGTGTTCAAGCATGAAATAGGGGCACAAGGCAGCAAGGAAAGCCAGATGTTGTGACATCCAGGAGAAGTAAACAACTGGTTCCAACAAAGTTAGAAGCTCAAGCTAGAGGATGGATTTAATGTGTTTTTCAGAGACTTGCTCCCTCAAGTGGTGAAAGATGTATTTTTGCCAAGGAGTGTGATTTTCCTCACTCATATATCTTGCATTTAGCATGCTTTCTTTTGTCACTGGCCTCTGGAAGGTGAATTGGTCGGATTTGTAATCCTGTTGTGGAAGGAAACATAGCTTATAGGGAACAAGCATTTCCCTATGTCTATTCTGATGCTGAGATTAAGCTTTTATGGTCCCATCCTACAGCGGTATCTTTCAGACCCTGGTTCCATCCTGCAAAGGGCAAAGTTGTTGCAGAAATACATGTTTGCCTTGAAGTCTTATTTTGGCCATGAAGTGTGAAAACACAGAAAAACACACACACCCATTCCGGGAGGCAAAATATAGTAGTAGCATATTAAACAACTAACAATTGGCTGTCATTATGTCACAGACAAAAAATTGATGCTTTAGAATTGTGGTGCTGGAGGAGACTCTTGAGAGTCCCCTGGACTGCAAAGAGAACAAACCTATCCGTTCTGAAGGAAATCAACCCCGAGTGCTCCCTGGAAGGACAGATCCTGAAGCTGAGGCTCCAGTATTTTGGCCATCTCATGAGAAGAGAAGACTCCCTGGAAAAGACCCTGATGTTGGGAAAGTGTGAGGGAAAGAGGAGAAGGGGACGACAGAGGACGAGATGGTTGGACAGGGTCATCGAAGCAACCAACATGAATTTGAGCAAACTCCGGGAGGCAGTGGAAGACAGGAAGGCCTGGCCTGCTCTGGTCCATGGGGTCACAAAGAGTCGGACATGACTTCACGACTAAACAACAACAGGTCACACCCACACACAGTTGGATTCAGTGGCCTGATAGGCTGGACTCCATTATTCTCTGACTCTACCTCAGAAAACAATGGTCCAGATCCTCTTATGCTGGCATAGCACAGTTGGTGTAACTTTTGAAGCCAACTTGACCAATTTAAGAAAACATGATTCGTTGCAAATGGAGTTGTACGATTCAGCATGCAAACTGGTTATATCTATGGTCACTTCTCAACTAGGAGCAATTTGCCTCCAAAAAGGTACGCCATTTGCCTAGCTTTGCATCGAGATTTGAGTCGACATTTGTTTTGCAATGAAGGAAATGTGAAACGCTTCACTCAGAATCGGCCAGAGTGCCCGTTTGAGGCAGAGCACCAAATAAATGGCATCCACGATGATGAACCAAGAGCCATCAGATAAATGGCGGGTGTGACTGCGACCCAGAATAGAGCTGGGAGGGAAGCAGCTGATGGTGTTTTTAATTAGAAAATTAGAACCTGCTTTTCAACTTCACAAATTCTCAAGAGGCAATAAATGGACCCTTGCTGTGATCCTTAACCTCTCTCCTTTTCTGTTTCTCCAGGGCATCGTGTGTGTTTAGGAGAAAATCTGGCCAAGACAGAGATGTTCCTTTTCTTTGCCAACTTGCTGCAGACGTTCACATTCCACTTGGCGGAAGGGACAAAAGATATAAGCCTGGAACCGGTCCAGGGAGGAACCCTGCAGCCTCACTACTTTGAAATCTGTGCAATTCCTCGATAGGTCCCAGCTGGTGTGTGTCTTTGTGTGGCTTGAGTTTGGACAGCAAACTGCTCTTCCAACATGAGGTTGGGCAGCTTCTTCAGAATCTGGAGACTCAAAACTTTCATCCACAGGTGAAGAATACATTGGTAGACCTAAAGACAGCAAGAAGAAGTCGACACAGAGACCAATAATTTTTACAAACACAGTCTGAATGTGGTACCCGGGATATGACCTCGACTTTACAGAGCGTTCCCCCATTTCTGCTCTTTGGAGACTGCCTCCTCGGGGCACCAGCTGTTGAGGGGATGTTCTCTTAAAGCCATGGAAGGGCAGGTAGAGTTCTGCCTCTCAAACTTCTGCCTGGAGGTGGGTGGGAATTCATAACACATCATTCAAGCCTTCATGAAGGTCTTCTGCCTTCTGCTTGAATGGGGCTGTGGGGGCAGAAGGTTTAGAAGCAGGAGAATTGGGCAATAGCTGCAGCACTCAATGGCATTTAAGAAAAAGAAGTCAATTTGCTGGGGAGAGAGCAGGGGGTGGTCTTTGGAGAACACTTAGGGGAAGATTGGGTCACCATTGCCTGCACCGATTATAATACTTCTTTTTACGCTGGTCAATGACTGTAATAAAGACAATGCGTATACTGTATATAAGACTTCTTCTGGTTAATTACTCACCCTGGTGTCTTCACTGATCCAAGCGCTGGCTTAGCTAGGATTCCAGGACAAAACTGATTTTAACATGACAAAATGTATGGCACATTGTGCCCCTTGACCAATGAATAAAGAGGAGTAACATCATCAAATCTGGCTTAGCTAGGATTCCAGGACAAAACAGATTTTAACATGACAACATGTATGGCACATTGCCCCCCCCCCGATCAATGAATAAAGAGGAGTAACATCATCAAAACTGGAACAAATTCAGAGGGCAACAAGAGGTGATCATGGGACTGGAAACCAAGCCCTAGGAGGAAGTTCAAAGGGCAACAAGGGGTGATCAGGGGGTACTGGAAACCAAGCCCTAGGAGGAAAGACTGAAAGAACTGGGCATGTTTAGCCTTGAGAAAAGATGAATGAGTGAAACTAGGACATCATGTTTCAAATACTAGAAAGGTAGTCATACAGAGGAGGGGCAGGATCTGTTTCCTGTTATATCATCCCGCAGTGCAGATAATAGTGGGCTCAAGCTACAGGAAGCCAGATTTTGGCAGGATATCAGGAAAAAACTTCCTAACTGTTAGAGCAGTACGACCATGGAACCAGTGACCTTGGGAGGTGGTGCATGCGCCAACACTGGAGGCATTCAAGTGAAAATTGGACAATTATCTATCAGATCTGCTTTGATTTGGATTCCTGCATTGAGCAGGAGGTTGGACTTGATGGCCTTATAGGCCCCTTCCAACTCAACTGTTCTATGACTCCATGATCATCTTCATCATCATCTTAGAACTGCAGAGCTGGAAGGGACCCTATGGATCATGCAGTCCAACTCCAAAGAGGCACCAAGGGGGAATCGAACTCCCAACATCTGGCTTCATAGCCAGATACCTAAGCCACTGAGCTAACCAGAAGTCCTGAGTGATGGGTTTAACAAGGGTCATGACTTTGTTAAACTGTTTAGCTTCCCTGTCTTTCAGAGGGGCTTTCCCATAGCATGGGCTCTGGATCAGGAGCAGGGGGCATTCCTCTCACCTGTCTTACAAGGCCTTGGTATCCTGCTGTAGCACTTCAGCCCAGCATTGGCCAGCTCAACCAGAAGACCTTCCTGGGTCCATTTCCTCCTCCAAACCGCAAGACTCGACTTGCAATGTACCCTTGTGGGTCCCATATGGGGCATCAATCAGGGGTGGGCTGGTGTGCCATCCTCTATAGGTAAAGGTAGGAGGGAGGGAAGTACCCACCAGTCCCTTTGGATGCATAAGGATTATTCAATTGTAGGTTACTGGATGAAGCTTCAGCAAATTGCTGTGCTTTTCTGGATCTCAGGGTGAGCAGTGATGGTGGAGGAGATAATTTGATCTCTCTTTAACGCCTGGACAACCATGTTCTCCAATTTCAAGTCACACCATACTGTACTTTACTAGCTCAACACGAAGTGTTTCTCTCTCACTTCCTCTCCCCGTATGTGTGTGTATTGCACTTGCTTTTATTTGGAACTGATTCTTATGCAAAGAAAATAATTTAGACTGGTGGGGTGTAGCTGATTCCTCTTCCAACTCCAAAAATGCCCCAGTCTAAAACATGCTGACCAAGTTTAAAACTGTTTAGAAAACCACCTGGAGAAGACATCTATGTGTGGGTTGGAAAACTCCAGAGGCAGACTTCGAATACAGCTTTAGGCAGAGAGATTGGCTGAATAGTTTAATGGTTTAGGTATCTGGCTATGGGGCCAGAGGTTGGGAATTTGATTCCTCCCTGTTTCTCCTGCAATTACAACTGGCCTGGGTGGCCTTGGGCAAGCTGCACAGTCCCAGGGCGACACCAGAAGAAGGGAATGGTAGACAACTTTTGTGCATTCTCCACCTAGAAAACTCTGGAAAAGTTTACCAGAAGTCAGAATTGACTTTAGAGCATGGCGCCTTTCAAAGGAACTCCCAGAACAGAGAAATCCAAGATTCCTAGTCCAACAATTCAGAATGGCATACCCTCATAAATATATTCCTTAGGTTTTGGTCTGGAAAAAAATGTGAAAGTTTTGTATTAATTTCTCCCATACCTAAACACAGCTACATATATCGAATCGCTACAAGCTGATCTGTAGCCAGTCTGATTTGATTTGTATCTAAATATTTCAAAGTATTTGTAGGTATAGGCATGTGTTTGAATAACGGCAAAAGCATGAACATAGGGAAAATAGGCAAAGGAGCGAAATGCAGTGCCATCAACTACAGCCTCCAGTGTGCAGGCAAAGCTTTTGCCAGTTTCCTTCCTTCCTTCCTTCCTTCC